CTATGCCATATATATATTTTAGACGATTACTCAGTTCATACAACTGATAAAGTGAGAAAATCTTTCCAGGCAAGAGGTTATATATTAGTTGTGATTGGTGGTCGTATAACTGGTAATGTCCAATGCAATGACACTCATGTTCACCACCTGTTGAAGCAAAAGTACCACGAAATGGAATGCAACTTAATGCTCCAGCAGCTTAAGTAAAACCCAAATAAAATTCCATCTCCTTCACGTGACGAGATTATGCACATGCTTGTTGATTCGTGGAAAAGTCTGGATATCAACGTTGCTAATGCCTTACCACAGAATTTTTTAACAAATACTTTTGATGGATCAGAAGACTACAAAGTATCAGATAAACTGTTCGTGCTTGTAGGTGATGAAATGTTATCATTTAGAAGTGACTTGCTTAAGTCAACACCCCCAGATTCATTATCAGCACTACTGAAAATCATTACACCTCCAAAAGGCACTCATGGAAAAGCATCTTATGATGCACCACCAGATGAAGGTATGGAGCTTTGTGATTGGGAAGGCCCTGAAACGAATCCATTAGAAAACGAGAATGAGAAAGAAGATGAGGAAAATGATATCGATCCATGCATTCAAGAAGTTATCTTGGACATTGTCAAGCAAGTTGTAGAGGAGGAAAGGAATCCAAAATCATCAAGCCTTTCTTTGTACAAAAACAATGCCGACATAAAGAAAGATGCAACTTTTCTTGACAAATTGCAGGATCTACTCAACACACAGCTCACATCAGTCCACTTGCTCCATTTATTAATGAAATTAAAGTCCTGCAAAGCAAACTACGTGCAAGTTTAAAATGGAGATTGCAAGTTGATCAGTCTTTCAGTAAGCACTTAATAAATAATTTCCATGAAGGTGGAAATTCTGATAACTATTGACGATGACATTGATGAGGACAGAAATGCCTTTTGTTTATTTGACTAGCCCATGAACTTATGTTACTATTTTGTTTTCATTGTGTTCAATATAAGGCAAGAAACTTTCACAAATTTATTTGGAATGTATATATTTTCCAGACTTTTTAGCCCTGTCCATTTCCCAACCTATTTTGGATTCTCATATTAGATCTTCATTCGTTTTATGCTAGAAACTAGTTCTGTGCTAGAAACCCCGGGAACCAGTTTAATATAAAAATGGAAGCTTTTAAACAATATTGACTCGTATTTATCATTTAACTAATCAACAGCCATTCTTCCCACCTGTTCATCAAAAAATAAACAAAAATGGTAGCTTGTTTTTACTTATAATGCATTTTTAACCAACCTGTTGGAACTTGGAGTAATGTCAAGAGACAGATGGGAAGCTACAACATTAATGGAACACCACAAGGTAAACTTTACCTGTCAACACTATTATTCTGGTCTACATGTTTTTTAATTTTTCCAGTTGACACGCTTATTCCAGCCTACATGTTTAATAATTCTTCAGTTATTCCAGTCTACATAGTTATGTGGCCTAACATTTATTCGGAACACGAGAGTACTTGGTTGAGGGGGGGGGGGGCTTATCTTTGGACCTGTCCTTTCTCACACCTATTGAATGTTTGGTACTTTGGACATTTCTTCTTCTTTTGTATCAACTGAGGTCAGCCTTTTTTTTTTTCTTAATTGACTGTGAACTATGACAATCTGACCACCAGGTTTTCTCTTCTTACACTGGAGGTTATTTTACTTTTGTGGACTCTGGGTTCCCTAGAACTCCTCATTCCTTTAGAGAAAGCACTAATGTGTCTCCCAACAATGGACTGTCTGGACCCATGGTTTTCATTCTTGGTGTCCATTTTCCTCCTGATATTATCTTAGTGATTGGAGTGTACCCAGCTTACTTTCTGCACTTTACTGCCTTTTATACATAGGATCTATCCCTTCTTCGATGCTTTCCTCTTCTGACATTTTGATGTTGGTCCTGCATTCTCTCCACATTTACAAGCTCAACCCTATCACTGTTCTTTGGACATACTGTTGTTCCTGCCTTATATATAATCTCTTTATCCTGGCTTGTTTTCCTCCTCCTCACCTACAATTACTGCTTTGGATGTCTCTTTTATGGTTGCTTCTCTTACCCTCTTCTACTGCACTTTTACATCCTTGTCTATTGTAGGGTTGTTTCTTGTATCAACTTTCCAAAAGGCTACAGTTCCAGGTCCTTTTACTTTCAGGCATTACACTGGCCCCAGAGTGGTATTTCACATAATGTTGATCTTTTTGCCTATCCTTTGCCATGAGCTTATGTTTTGATGGCAGACTGCTTCTCTTGGCCAGTCCACATTCTATCATTGGTGTGGTTTCTACATCCCCAGGTCTTTTGTGAGGTTTGCTTCTTGGTTGGTCACACAATTGGATACATTTACCACTCTTCACAACTCCAGGCTTCCTTCCTTATAGTCCATTATTTCTCATCCTCTGGCTGTGTGTTTTCTCAGCCTGGCCTTATCACCCTTTTTTCTATATGCCCATTCCCATGTTATTCTACTCCCTCTAGTCCTCATCTTCGCACACTACTTTCCTACTCAAGTTCTATCGTTGGCTCCTCTTTGCCTAGCTCAGCCTTTGTCTGTTGGCATTCTGACCCCCTACTTTCCTCAATTTTCCTCCCTTTCTCTATCTTGCTTCACACTCGCGCATCTCTTCATTGAAAGTTATCTTCTCTCCTCCTTGGGCATGGAATTTACTCTATCTGTTACTTGTTTTGCTGCATTCTTGTCATCCTTTTGCTGTCTTTTTCTATCAGTGACTATGAATTTTGTGATTGATCTTTCCTCCTATGACCACCTATCTGCATTTTCTTCCCTTGACTGTTTGTCATTAAGTTGTTGATCTGTACTAGTACTAATTGTCAGGAGGCCTCATCCTTGAACTTTTTCCTTTCCTGGTACCACAAGGTGTTTATTCCCTTGCCCTCTCCTTTCTATTTTACTCCTTTTTTTCTCTATCTTTTTCACTCTGCTCCAGTACATTACTGAGACTATAATGGGGTTTGCATGATCTGGTTCATGCCCCAATTAAGCCATTGGCTTCCTGCCTTTTACACAGTCTCTTTATCCTGGATTGTTTCCTGTGACATGAGCACTTTGACTAAACTGAGAATACTACATACACAAAATTCATCAGTTTGTCATTTGAAGGTTTGATAACCATTTAACCAAAGCTATGTTTTAACAGTAATTAATTATACTTTTCTAGTGTGACAATTAAAATATTTACTTTGCATATGAAACATAACTTTATGTTTGTGATTTTCAAGCGATATCATCATAGTCTTATTGTTAATGTAGTGATAAGTTGTTAAAATATTGCTATGGTTATATGGCTTTCAAATATTTGCATCATAAGCTAATGAAAACTTATGAAAAGAGGTTCAAACATGTAACCAATCAGCATTGCTGAAAATATAGATTATGAATTAAATGTGTAGGAATTTGAAAGCTAACCATTATTTTCTCTTGTTAAATATTTAAGTTTCATGCAATAATTTCTTAAGTAAATCACTTGCTGATGTAGCATTTATATGTATGAAATGTTTGTTTTGAACAGATAAGTAATACTGTACAATCAATTTGTATCAAAGAGAGAGATTTGGTACTAATCAATTATGCTTGTCATAAGACACTGTTAGTCTTATTCAACAATGGATATCACTAAGACAGTGTGGTGGAAATACTGTTATCATACACACTTCTAATTTTTGAAAATCCCTGAGGGACTAGATGAAGAATGTAGTATTAAAAAATGTAACAGGCCTATCAAAATTTCTTACAACAAGTGTAATTGATTATGATCATGCTTTGCCAGCTTGTCAAAGGCATTCACACCATATCAATTTGTTAAGTTTTTAGCAGTAGAATTCTTTCAATAGGTTTGTATTATGTGATGTCTTTCTTTGAACATTTGTAGAAGTATTACACAACACCACATTAATATAAGGTATGATGCAGGATTTTTTGAATTTTAATTTTATTTCATGACAGGTAACTAGTTAAAATGAGTTTGCTTTCAATCTTAAATATTTTCATGGAAGTAAAAACATAATTTTAAGTACCTTTTTTTCTGTAGGTATACTTGTTTGTATGTGTAATTATGTACTAAATAAAATGGATTATGTAAGCTAAGGTTTTAGTTGTGAAGCACCTTTGTTTTCATGAAAACAGTAAGAATTTTTTTGAAACTTGTTGAAACCCTGAAACTTAGTATTTAAATGTTTGAAGCTTTATTCTTAACATACGATAAAGGTAAATGAACCACTCAAATAAAATCACTTGAATCGGTTGGAATAAATTAGTAAATAAATAATTTTCAGTTGTACCTATAGCAATTGCATCAAAATTACTCTTAAATGCACCATTACAAGCATGTTTTTTAATGAAAAATCTGATTTCAAAATTTCCTTTATAGCAAAGTACAAATATAAATACAGCTTACTATCTACAATTTTATATATTTGAGTCAGAGACAGACATATCAAATTACTTCTAAGTTAGTTTTTCTAAAAGTACACATAATTACTTTTTAACAGTTGAATAATAATTTAAATCATAAATATTGATCTTGAGATGTAAGATTTTCATTTATTAAGGGAATAAAAGACTTAAAACATAAAAAAAAAGATTTAAATTAACATAATTGTATAATTTGGTATGTATAATGCAATTTTAATTAATATTTTAGGTGTATAGTACTATGGGATATTTCTGTGATTAGGTATGAATTAATGTGATGTAATTTAAATCTAAGAGATGTTTAGTCATTTTCTACCTGTTTGGAAATGCTGTTTTGATTTGATAATTCAAGGTACCATAATAACATCATTAATACTTGGAGTACCTTATTGAAACATCATCTGTACACAGGTAAATGAAAGTTATTCAGTTTTATTATACTTTTCTCAATAAACCTTATTAAACAACATGGTTTACACTTGTTTTGATTAGTTAAGTGTTTGACTTGTATTACTTTTTCTTTTTTTTTTAGTTGCTCACTGAAGAAACCACATGGAGTTTTTTTCAACAGGTATGTTTCATCTAAATGCAGTACATATCTGCACATGTTCCATATATTTAGGTTTAAATTACTCTACTCTTTCAATAATTGTATTACATAAATACACACACACACACATTCAATATATGTAAACACATAGTAGTTGATTTTCTCAACAAGTATTTTAATATCCACATATTCTTTTATACCTTTAACAGGTAAGTTCTATGTAACCAGACATATTTTAGTCAACACTAAATGAATGTTACTTTTAATTAGCTTCACATTGTGTGTGTGATTGTGTATGTATATGAGCGAGAGAACAAGACGCACATACACACACATATATTTAGTGACAACTAGGTATATGGCATGTTTTCAGATGAAGCTTACTTTAACCCTTTTGCATCGGCCATCCTTTACTGTGCATGTCACAAGGTTTTTAGTGACTTACATTAAAAATTTAATTAGACCACTTTTTTGTATACATTATACCAATTAGTATGGCATAAAATCATAGCTAATAATCCATATTTTAATAGTATATAAGTTTTAAGCTCTTGAATTTATAAGACAATATTAAAGAGAAATCTTGTTTAGCTATAGAGCTATCAAATAAAAAATTAGACCCCTCTCTTTCAGGATTTGTTAATAGTTCTCTCTTACATTTAATATTATATTATTTATAACCAACAGAAAACCAAGGTTTTCATCTATCAAATGACGTATTATATTACATTGTTTTCTGAACAGAGAAAGATATTGATTAGCATGGATGAATTTGGGATATTTATAAAGCCCGAAAATTTTTTATAGTTATGTGTCATTGTCTGCTTTTTTGTATGTTATTATTCTGTGTTCTTTGGTGCATTATTTAATTAAATAAAAATTATGTAGTGCATTACTACCATCAATATAAAAAAATGGGGGAGATTAAGTATTACTGACAATCGGCAGCAAAAAAAAAAAAAAACAGGTTAAGTACTTTATTTTTTGTTTTTCATGTGTATTCTTTATTATTATAAAAGTCACTAATATATAAAAATAGGAATATTTTTAGGTTAGCTAAAGTTAGATTAGGTAAAATAGATAATATAATAAAAATGTTTAACAAGAAACTCCCATGAGCAGCTATGGGTAGCTCGTGGGTAATATAATTTGGTAGCAAAACATGAACTCCATGTTCCTCAAGTGAGTTACAACTTGTAATGGAAAAATAGTAGCTGTACAAGGTTCAAAGGGCAATAAAACAATAAAATTTAAGTATAAATAGATGTATACTGTTACTAGTTTAAAGCTACTTAGGATAAATGAATGTAGTTTCATGTTACAATTTGAAGTCATTCTAGAAAGAAAAGGTAATTTATATTTTTATTTTGTTTTTTTGTGTTTACAAGGTCAGTGAAATTAACTGAGCCCATGCAGAGAGAGTTAATAATTATAAAAATGTATATCACTTTACATGTATAACTGACAAATTCTGTTTATCTAGATAACAATCAGTTGGCATATTAAACAGGTGCAGTATCACAAAAGTTTGGGTAAGCATTGGATAAACCAGTCTAAATATGAACATTTCTATAATTTTGTAAAATAAAAATCTAATATACTGATAATTTGGTCATTGATTGAGCATAACAATTTCCCATTGGCTTTACTTGCATTTTATGACTCTTAAATCACTAACTTACCTCCTATTACTAAAATGTATAATTAAAGATTCAGAACTTATTTTGTGTCTAAAGGTCATGAGAGCTTGAACAAACTGGACATTTGTGCTATTTCGTACCACAGTACATCTGGGTGTAATTCTGTTTAATTATTCAGTAATGTTGTTCCACCTGTTCCCTAGACGGTACATAAGTACATCATTCTTTACTTTGACTTCTACCTGTCTTTGTGAATAAGTCAGATATACATAGCTAAAACTTAAGAAATTGATATTACAAGAAGGCAAGCCATATGTACTTTGAGAAAACAAGGCTATTAATTAAAAAAAATTGCTAAGAAAGTAGCATTTAACCATAGTACAACCAGTGAACACCTTTCAGGTACAGATCTGGGCAGTTAGTGGTTTTTGCTGATCAATTAATTGATGAGCTTATTAACCCTTTCACACCAGATACCCCTTTAAACACTTTTCTGCACAAGTCACTGTGTTACATTCAAAATTTAATTAAACACCTTTACTATCAATGTGAATGGAAGTAACATTATAATGTTATGTTATCTAAGTTTTAAGTCCTTTATTTCAAAAGAAACCTTTAAAAAAATGACTTAAAACTTCAGCTGTATTGTCATGTGATCCATGAGCTATAAAATTCTCTACTTTGACACTTGTATCTTCAGTTATGTAATGACAGTTGTTTCAATGTACATGTAGACAATAAGCTATATACTTAACCTATTGACACATACATTTCAAAGTTCTCTGGATGAATGCAGTTGAAACAAGTAATATATTTTGTCAACCCCTGACAGGTGCCACACCCACCTTCAATAGATTTGTTTAAGTTTTATATGTAGAGGTTACATATACACTTATATAGTCTTTAGAACAAGCTCGTTTTATACTATAATCCAACAGTGGTTATTTTGAAATTGGTGTGCAGCTTTCACCATTGGGTACCTGTAACTGTCTGTAGTATTGTGGGCTGCTTGATTGACTGTAGTGCTTATGGTTGTTTCTTACCTAAATATGTTATAGTTAAATATACAGTAATATATATTTAGATTTTACTTTTATGTTTTAGTTCATTATTTATTTGTTTTTAAATGGTTTAAGCATTTCTTAAAATATACATCATAATTTGCATCAGTTCTCAAGGCTTATGATCTTGCACAGTGTAAGTAAATTTTGCTAAAGGGCTGTGCATCACTGCCAGAGATACTGTAACGTGCCAAGAGAGCGCTGTTGACTTGTGTCGAGATGAAGAATAAATGGTAAAGGACAAGAAAGGAAAATAAAACATTAAAAATTAACTGTGTGAAAAAGAAAAGGCATGCAATTATAAATATAACTAAAAGAAGATCTTTAAAGATTTTCTACAAAAAATTAAAAGGTTTTTTTTTCTACTTCCTAATTTTAATCATTTAATTGCATTGTGTGTTGATGATAATAGCTAGTTAGCAATATGGTAGAGAAAATGAAAAATAAAATATGAACATTTACCTTATAAAAACTTGATATTTATTTAGAGGTTATTGAAATAAAATATGAAAATCACCTTCACTTGATTTGTTAACAGTTTGAGTGCAAGTAACTAAAACAGAAAAATAACATTTTTAGTAAAAAAACACAATTAAAATAATGTCATTCTTTGTGAACATGATACTTGTGATCTTTAACAAAATCTTACTAGTTTTTAAGAGGATACTTTTAAGAAATTTCAGAGTTACAGTGTGTATTGTTGCACAAGTGAAATTCCCGATACAACATTCCATAAAGTACCCAAACCCGTTCCATAGGGTTAACCTCCCTGTACAAGAATTAAAATAAAAAAATTGGTGTTGTGCTACCTTCATAATTTTGTAAATCACCGCATTACTTCAACATGGTATTAACCCTATTGAAATGGGTTCATGTATTTTACACAATCTTGTGACCACCATGTAACCAAGATGGAATGCATGCTATGACTCTGAAAGTACTTAATGTATCCTCGTGAATTTTGGCAAACTTTCAGTAAACTTTAAGTCTTTTTATAGACAAAAAGAAAATCAGAATTTTTAATTAAATATTTCTATTAAAACTTGTATGATGTCAGAGTGTTGTCTGTTCTGAGTGCAAAGTGATTTTCATGTTGAGATATTTTCTTCTGAAAATTTTCAAACTTGGTTTGTGTAATCCCCAAAACTTCCTAAATAAATATCAAATGTGTTTGTTCCTGAAACCATATATTTTACCTGTTATTTTCTATACTATAATTCTATACAGGGTTGGTTGATTTGACCGACCTTGTAACCAAAATAAAAGAAATTAGGAAGTAAATTTAGATTACACCTTTTTCTTTCTACGGTGACTGCAAATTGTAAAAGAAAACCACAATGGTATATCTTGAGTAGCTTAAAGCTTGTAACTCTATACATCTATTTGTACTTAATGTTGTTGTTTTATTGCCTTTTGAACCATCTTTAACTAATAATCCTGCCATACAAGTTGTAAATCACCTGGTGAACATGTAGCACATGTTACCTTATTGAATTATGTAATGCACAGGCTACTTGTTAGCATACCTCATGAAATCTTTTCTTTTTCTTTATTTTATGTAATCTAACCCTATCTAACCTAATAAGTTTCTACTTGTTAGGTTTTAGTTACTTTTATAATAATAATAATTAAAGGATACACATGAAAACAAGAAATATAGTACTTATCTGTGTCTTCTGTTCTTTTTTGTTTTGTTGTTGTCAACTGTCGATGAAATTTAACCATAATTTTTTATATCGATGGTATTACTGCAGTCAATGATTTTTTTATTTAATCAAATAATGCACATAAGAACACGGAATAATGACAGGCAAAAACCAGGTAGTGTCTTATAATTATCATAATTTTTCTGGCTTTATGCCCATGTGATAACCATTAAAAGTTCAGTTAAGCTTGTTGATGTGTTTCCCATGGGAATAAAGTTTGAACTGGAAGCAAATTAGACATTTTGTAGTACAGAAAACAACATATGTCATTTGGTAGATTAAAACTTTAGCTTTCCATTAGTTATAAAAAATACAGTATTATGTATTTTAGAAAATTATTGGCAATTTGGGAAAGAGAGGATGTGACAGTTGGATGTGGCAGGAGGGGTCGTAATTTTCTAAATTATGGCTCTGAAACCAAATAAGATTAAAAGCTTTGCCTGACTAATAACTATTATATATTAAGTAATTTACATTATATTCTATACTTTGAGGAGTAGCAAATAAATTAGAGAAGAGAGAAGACAGAGAGCAAATGTCACTGTTCTACTGACGAGATTGAGGATTTTTTAAAATATTTCCTTATAAAATTAAAACTTAAAATTTTATTAATA